AAATATAAAAAAATATCGAAAAAATCGTGTAGTTTTCCCGCGTGTAATATCATCGACTCATCGTGAGTTCCTATAATCATATTATGTAAATATATATATATTATATTATATATAGGTATATAGATTATAGGTACCTATACGAAATCGTAATAAAAATTGTATGTATATATATATATATATGTATATAGTCTGCACTATATTATATACATACTATACATATAATATATTAATAGGGTAGCGTATAATATTATATGTATTATATATGTGCATAAGTATACGAGTGATTTTACAGCAGAAAATGGAAAACCTAACGTGATTTTACCTGCATGTGTGTGCGGCGGACGTAGCAGACAGCGCAGTTGAACTTTCGCGGTGGCCGACAACCGAACCCGTACTGCTGCCGCGGCGCGTCTGAACTTTAATTATGGCCACGCAACGCGCACAGCGTGTACCAAAACGCGGCGGCAAAACAAACAACGAAAAATCAGTTTGGGTCATCTTCAAACTCGAAGTGCTGTCACTGCAGGATGGTTCTCCCCCCATAACGATCCATCAAGTTTCCTTGATGTATAATATATAAATAATAAATTTCAGACACACTAACGCTTATATTATACAACATAATATGCTATTATTCCATTACGTAGTGTGTACAGATTGTAATAGAATAATCGAAATTAAAATAATAATAAAATATAAGGTATAGTCATTATGATCCTCCGTGACATCACATACTATATATTTTAATATTTATCATTTATCATTTATCATTTTTTTTTTTTTTTTTTTTTTTGGGAACTTACATAATAAAATTTGTGTTCTCAATTATTTATAACTCTCTATCACTAACACAAGTTATTAGCTTAAAAGGATAGATAATCATGTAAACTAACTCAATGTTTAGTATTCTATGATGTAATTTATGATGGTTTTGAAAAATATATAATATTATTATATCATGGTTTTTTTTAATGATTATTTCTGACTGCACAAAGTATTCCTATTCTTGGATTGTAGTAGGTCCGTTGAACTATGCCGGGTGCTGGTGTATTGCTGTTTACGTTCTGCTGTATACTGTATACTACCTACATTTTTTACTTTCATAAGACTGCATATATACTCAGAACCGAT